ATATATATATATATATATATTTTATTTATGTTGCTTGTTTTTAAACATAATTTTCTTTCACGAAGGACCCTCTTGAGATCCTGGAACACGGCTCTTTTCCTGATGTTTTCCATTTAGAAGCAAGTAGCTCTCTAGGTAGATTATTTGGCTTTAAAGCCAAGCTTCCTATGGTGGAGACAAACGGTTGTGTTTTTTACATGAATAATAATTTGTTTTGCTACTAGCTTGTCAACAGGCATAGATATTGTGGCCAATGGGCTTATGGGTCTGTCATGACATGAGGTTATCCACCTTTGAAAACAGGAGCAACAACATCTGGTTTCCCACATCCGGGGAAACATATTCTGTGAAATAGTCAGATAGTAATAGGGTGTGTGAATGACATACTGAGCTCCTTAAACATTGCTACATCCATGTCAAAATTACTTTACATATGGGTGGTGTGGGCAATTTGTCAGTTGTACCTTTGTATCTGAATGCTTTTTAACCTGTGTCTATTCAGCTCCTCTATTTTTCCTTGTTAGTTTGATATTTTTTTGTACGACAATTTGGGTTTGTTTTGCTGAGCCTCACCTTTTGTTTTGGTTTTGTGCACAGGACAAAACATAGTTTTAATTTAGGTTCCTTCCTTTCAAATCCTCTTAGAATTCATCCAAACCTCTTTCATGACTTCAAAGATCAAATAAATCCAAACAGACTTATTTGCTCCAAAAACATAGGCTTAGAAAGTCTTCATAAGAAAATACTGTTTGGGAAAAAAAACACCCAGAAGACTGAACCTCCTGAGGCCAAGAACAACCTTCCACTGGAGCTGCTGGTTATTTTATTCACTGCTGTTTCTGTGTGATTTCTCTTGTGCACAAAACAGGACTGGTCCAGGCTGCAAAGATGGATCTCGGGTCAGGAAAAGAGAATTTCACATCCCTGCAGAACCTACACACCCAGAACTGATCTTTGTTCTCAAGTTCACTTACTTTTTTTAGTTATGAACTGAGGCCCAGTGGGAGATTGCTTGTTCTGACCCTGAGGCGTATTGAGCTAATCACAAAGAAGATATTATGCAAATGCGTTTCATGGAGATACAGAGGAGCAAAGGCAGATAAATTATTTTATGGACTTTATTTTTGTCATTTCCTTCAATCTTTAAACATTTCCTTTAAGAAATATGGACCATCTGTGCAAACCTATTAATGAAATAAAAGCTTGGTTTGTTAAAATCTGAGAATAGAAAGAAATAATCACAAAGTGTCCACATATGTCCAGTGATAAACTGTTTAGGGCTTTTTTGGATAATTGTTTGATATTTAAATCTTAATAATTTCCATTATATAAATGTCTTTCCACTTTTTGACTTTTGGTGAAATTTATGTGATAGAAAATGTGATGGGCAATGACTTGACTAGGGTGTGCCACACCTCTCTCCCATAAACTTCTATAGGTACCAGCTCACCAAAAACTGTAAGAAATATATATATACCGGTATATGTATGTATTGTACGTAATGGTCACTTTACTGCCTGACTAAGATGATTTTAAATAACATTAAAATAACATTTGTACAGGGCTTTACTATTCAGTGCTTTGTTTGTAGGATGTAAACAGAGAATGAGGATGTACTCTAACACCACAGCTACTGATTGGGTGTGTCCACATATGCCTCAGGTTATGAAACATAGCATCTTAAATGTGACCTGTTTAAACTGTTGCTTCAGTTTTCCAAGGGACCCCTTTCACAATGGGAACCTGTATTTACAGTATGCAGTTACAACCAACAACCATGCTCCGGGAATGTCATTATAACATAAAAATGTGTTATTTCTGATAGCATTTATGGTATATTAACATTTTGAAATCACAGTGATGTTTTCACAGCCCTTTCCAACATCCAACATACAGTATTAATGTTTTGCTAAAAAAGAGGGGCTTGTGGTGTGGTTACTTTCAGGTGTGTCCTTGTTTTGTTTCAGCTGTGGTCACAATGAGCTCACGGTGGATTTTCCTACGACTGCTGCTGTCTGCACCATCTGTTTCACCTGTCCACAAGCAGCTCCACCCCTGTTATCTGACTCCAGTTCCCTGTCACCACAGGCAACTATAAAGCTCTAACAGACAAAGACATTTCAGGGAAGCGTTCTATTTGTCGAGGCCCATCGTAGACGTTGACCTAGCCCTGTTATTAAATAAGGAAATCCTGCCAGCGAGCATTTACAGAGGGTGAAGATGACCTCCACAGCAGATCGACTGGCCCACCAGCACCAGAGGGCTGAGGGCATTGGTACCAACCAGCAGGCAGTGAAGTTTTGCAATCAGGACTATGAGACCCTGCGGCAGCAGTGTTTGAGCAGCGGACGCCTGTTTGAAGATGACTGCTTCAATGCTGAGAGCAAGTCACTAGGTTATAATGAACTGGGACCATACTCGTCCAAGACAAGAGGGATTGTTTGGAAGAGGCCAACGGTAACAAGCCACTGAAAATATTGGTGTCAAAGACATAAATTATTCAGTTTTAAAAGAAATCATTGTGTTTTTCATCTCTAATAGGAGCTGTGTCCTTCCCCAAAGTTTATAAACGATGGAGCCACCAGGACAGACATTTGTCAAGGAATTTTAGGTGAGTTTCATGCTCTCATTTCAAAAAGTAATTACCCTTCTGTCCTAAAACCTCCACCCACTGCTGCCATACAATTTACAAACAGAAAATACTCCTTTTACACTGAGTGGTAATTTAGTAGCTTTTTTTTCTTTATTGTAAATGAAACTGTGGACACTTCAAAAAATCTTAGCCTTATAAGAACAATTAAGACCAAATTCAAGACTAAAATTTAAACTTAATGACAAAATTTCTTGGCAGCCAACATACATATGATTGCGGATTTATTCTTGTATCCTAAAATTAGTTTGACACCACGAAGCAATGTTTTGTTTTACTCTGTGAAAGTCAACAGAATAAAGCAAAACCTTGAAATAAAAACTGAAATTGCTGACAATTTACTGCATATTAATGCAGAAAAAACATGTTTAGTTTAATGTAGTTGATCGAGTCCATTCTAGTCAAGCTGGACTTAAATTACTAAATTACCTATACAGTTCATGACTATTGTAGGTGATAAATGTTTTCAAAGCAGCTGAATATAATATAATGATTATGGTCTAATTGGAAAGCCTTGAGGCTTATTTACAGTCTGATTTTAAAGTATTTTTTGCACCTCATTTTTTTTTAGGACAAGCTGTTAATCAAAATGAAGCTAGTTGTAATACATAATTTATTGTTCTTCTGACACAAAAGTAATTTTAAAAGTAATGTGAAGGTCTCCAGCTCCATTTTTAGGTCTTTAAATTACAGATTTCCATGGTTATTTATCCAGGAGTGAGGAGAATTGGGTGAAATATAACCTGAGAGCAGTAGCATGGATACCTGTCAAGTTAGGGAAGATAAAGCGATACGTCAAGGTCTTTCTTTAATGCAGTGTTTTCCAACCTTTTTTGTCTTGTGTACCGCCTTGGACATTTTGTCTTACCATGAGTTCCCCTCTCAGTCAAAAGGATTGATGATTGTCCAAAAGTGGAACGTACAATAACCAACCTGAGCATTTAATTCTTATAATTTTATGCTTTCCATTTCAAAAAAAAAAAACAAAAAAAACACACAAATATGTTGTCTGGAAGTTGGAAAGGAATCAAAATAAATATAAAATAAAATCATATTATAAACCTGTATTTATAAATCTGGAGCTCCTCTGAGTAACTCCCTTATAATCACATTTAAACTTGATGAATTAGGAACAAAATACTGAACAAAAATTAGAGTCAGACTGACTTAATTAGTTTTATTTGTTTTCATCTAGACACCTGAGCTACTTTGATTAGCTCTGATAGCTCAGTGTGAAAAACAGCTGATACCAGGCTGTTCTCTACATCTCGTCTGTTCCTCTGCTTGGTTTTGATCTTGGTCACAGCTCAAGATGAACTCAAATATCTTTTTGGTTGATAAAAGCTTGTTTAAATTTTCAACTGGGTCCTCTCAAAGCACAAAGAT